TATTATATAGCCGTGAATTGTGGACTTGCATGGGTATAAGTTTATTATTTTACGATGTCAATCAATTAAAAATGGAAACCGACTTGATTCTAAAACGATATATCTTATACCACCTCCAATGGAAGATCTTTAATTAGAAGAATTTTAATTAAAAATTCAATCAAAATATTGAAAAAAAAAGAAAGAGAATTAAGAAAGACTCTTAAATAATAGCATGAAGAGGGGCTCTTAATACTTATTAAACCCTTCTAAGCAACATGTCTCTCCCATATTGGTTTATTTTCTTTTTAAAATTAAAATTTAATTACATAACAAAATAATCATTTCTTTTTATGTTTAAGAGACTCTTTAGAAGCACTTACCATTGGAGACTTTCTTACCACCTCGTTTGCTTGACCACATCTTGTGTTTGAGTTAGAGAGACTTGTGTGTGTTTGAGTTAGAGAGACTTGTGTGTTGTGTGTTGTGTTTGTGTGTCTCCATGAGGTTTATATAGAAGAAAAAAACAACAAATTTTGAGAAATAGAGAAAGGGATCAAAACCAAAACAACAAGAATGAATTGGATTCGAAAGTAGCGGAGGGTTTTGAAAGTAAAGAAAGAAACGTCAAGAATTTGGTTCTTTGTTGTAGTGGAGGATATGATTCTTTGTTGTAGCATAAGTTATCATTGGTAAATGAATGATCTTTAGAAAACAAAAAGGAAACAAAAACAGAAGATCAAAGTTATTATAAGTAAATTCAAAGTTATTATATGTGAATGATCTTTAGAGCACACATAGGAAACAAAGAGTAATTCTTTTAATTTCTTCACTCTACTTGCATGATATAGAAGCCTATGAATTTGAACCTAATCTATGTGATTAGAATCATGAAAAGGAAGAAAAAAAAAACCCAAATTGAACAAAAAATTAAAGCCTACAGAAGTCAGAGAGGACAAAAAATTTCACCCTTTTTTTTTGGGTTTGCAAATCGAGCACCGCCAAAAGTTAAAGCACCAAAGATGGATCGAAGATTGTGTATCCAGAGCTAGGAAAATCTCAAGAACCATACGAGGACGAGAGAAGAGAGGATAAAAAAGAGAGCAGAGAGAGCAGAAGGATTCGAAAATGTTAACTAAGATTAACTCAAAAAGAACTGAAATACAAAAAAGAAAGTGATAACCAATTAATAAAGCCATAACTTTAGACAAGTAGTGTTTATTTTTCAAAGTCTAAGATGCAAAAATGCGATATACAAACGCAGGACATAACTTTAGACAAGTAGTGTTTATTTTTCAAAGTCTGAGAGGCAAAAATGCGATATACAAACGCAGGACAGTGGAGCAGTTTATTTTTTTTGGATAATTGATGACCCAATTAGCAGATATCATGTTTTCTGTGACTCATGATGATATAAATTAAATCATAAAGCATTGAAAGAAAGATTCTATTCATCAATGAAATTACTTTCGAAACAAAAATGCATGATGGGATAAAATAGTTGAAAACAGAATAAATAACAACTTAGTTAAATACTTTCGAAACAAAAGCAACGTACGGTGTGGGATAAAATAGTTGAAAACAGTATAAATAACAAGTTAATTTTGATATGCTCATCTCTGTGAAATCAGTATCAGTATATCAGCTCTGCTCTTCTGCTTAGGGTGATTCCTCCACATGTTTCTTCTTCCTCCGCTTCTGAGTTCTGACCACTGGAAGTGGGCCATGAACATATGCCGAGAGTCTGACCTACATCTAATAGGCATCCTGGCCATAATGCCGAGCTTTCGGGATTATCTAATGCGAGCCTTTTTAGGCTCTACTAATAAAATATT